GCAGACTTTCAAGCGCAGCAGGCTGGAAGGACGGGCGGTGCGTCGACGAGGTCGTGCTCCCGAGGCTGTGTGCGTCTGGCTGCGCATTTCACGACAGGATACACCATGCGCATATGATAGGTGTGCGTGGTGCGCTTGCGTTTGGTTTATCATGTTCGTCGTCTGCGCTTCGTGTTTGCAGTTATCTCTCCGCGTCGCAAGTTGCAGCCGTGGTTTGGCTTGCGTTCGTGCATCAAGGCAGCGCGCGTGCGCGGTTTGGCTGCGCGCGTCAAGACAATGCGTCGGGGTCTAAGTCGACGCAGCGGGCGGTTTGCCCAGCGCGCCGCCGCCGCCCTGCGCGCGCGTGGCCGCGGCGAGCCTTTGCGCCCAATGGTGTTGGCATGGTTGACATGCGCGGCGTTGCAAGGGCGCGCGTCGCGTTCTGGCGGCGCCGCGGCGGCGCGTCCGCGCCCGCCCCCCACTTGCAGTGCGATGGGGCGCTCCTTGCGGGCGGTAGTGCGATTTGCATTGTGCGCCGCGCGAGGCCATCGTCCGCCGCCGCGCGGCGGCGCCGCGAACGCGCGCGCGACGCCTCGAACGGCTTCCTGTCGCGGCGCCCATCTGACGGATTCGTCGCCGCGGCCGTTTGCTCTGTCCCATCCAGCGATCAGTTGCCGACGGCGCTCCCGCGTCCAGCGCGACGCGGCACGGCGCAGCTGAAGACGGGCGGCCCTCAGAGCAGCGGCGCGCGCGTCGGCCAGTGCGCGCGGCGGCTTCTCGCCAGCACATCGCGCGCTGCCGCGCCGCGCCAGCAAGGGCGCCGCGCGCGCGTTGGACTGCGTCTTGCGGGGCGCGTCGTTGCAGGCGCGCGGCGCGGAAGCGGCGCGCGGGGGCGCCGCCGACGTCCAGTCGCGCCGCGCGCGCGGCGGCTGCGCGTCAGAGATGCCAGCGGCGGCGCGATGCCGTGCACCGCGCGTCGGGGCAGCTCGCCTCTCGACTGCTTCTGTCGGGCGCGGGGGGGGGGGGCGGGGTGGGCGCCTCGCCCATCGCTCTCGCAGTGCCCGCGGGTGGTGTTTGAGCGTCCGCCGCTGTCCCGCGCGCCACGCCATGTCTTCGCCCGTTGTCCGCTCCGCCTACGTCGCGCGCCCCGACGCGCGCTGCGCTCCCATCGCGATGGCGCTGCGCGCTGCGCGCGGGCGCCAGCAGTCCTCAGGCTGGCGCGCGTTAGTGTTGCCATGGTCGACGAAGCGACGCCGAGCGAAAGATGACGTCGACGACGACGGGCTGACGATGCCGACCCAACAACTCCACGGGGAAAAAAATGGGGTGGCGATGTCGACCCAACGATCGCAGGGGAAAAACATTTGGGGTCAAGATTTCGACTTCATGGTCGACAAAAAATATCGCCCAACAAAAATTGCCATTTTTTAAAAATGCCATTTAGCAAAAAAAATTGCCATTGCGCAAAAAAAATGGTTTTCATTTGGTAGCACGAAATTTGGGTTTGGGGTTGGTACCGAGCTGATCGTCGACTCATAAGTTCAGGGTTTGGGGTCGGTACCGAACCGATCGTCGACTCACCCATCTGAAGTTTGGTGTTGCTGGTAGCGGGTGCCTTGTAACATCTTGTTACGTGTAGGGCGATGGGTGAAATTTTCGCAATCTACCCCCCCCCCCCACCTTGCCGCCGAACCTGGAACTGGCGGCAGGGGGGGGGGGGGGGGGGGGGTAGCTGAAGCTGGTTGGGCCCGTCGGCGCGCTGGCAGCCGCTGGCAGATCTTTCTCCAGGGGACAGTTTGCGATGCGTTGTGTTCTACAATCGCGGGCGGTTGGCCCCTGGGCGCTGGCCGCCTCGCGCATCGTTGGGGGCGACAGGCGCCGCAGATTTCCGCGGCCGCGGGTCAGGGCTGCCACCCTCGGGCCGCGGCGCGCCGCGTCCCAGCCATGGCGCCGTCGGCGCCGCAGGGCCTCGGCGCCGTGAGGCCGCGGGGCAGCGGTGCATCTCTGGCCCAGCGCCAGCGCCGTGGGCGACAGCTGAGGGTTCGGACCGCAGGGTTCCAACGCTTTGCCGCATCGGCGCCGCGGGACAGTCGACGCTTGGAGCTTTTCAGCGCGGTGTTTTGGCGGGTTCGGGCTCTGGGTTCTGCCAGGCGCTCGCGCTGGCAAGCGCCATGGTATCCTGGTCCGACGGCCTTGGGCATGCGGGCTCTACGGTTGAGGTAAGGCCCGAGACAGCACGCGCCGTCAGGTGGGCGCGCCTGAAGGTGTACACGGGCGCGCCGTTGCGTAAGGGCGCCACGCCAGGGCTTCGCATGCGCTGCGTCGGGATTGCAAGGCCGATGCGTCTCGGGCCATGCGGGCCAGGGGCCTGGGCCCGCAGGGCGCGCCCGTCCGCTACTGAAGCCGCCAGCCCGACTTCTCAGCGTTCGAAATCTTCGGGCTTGGTGGCCGCGGCGCTTGAATTTCTTCTGGGCGCATCGGCCCACCTGCAACGCGGCGCCATCGCACCAGGGCGCCGCCCCCCCCCCCCCTCCCCCCCCCCCCCATCCCGCCACGCGGCGCCACGGCTGCGACGCTTCTTCAAAACCGCGCGGCGCTTTGGGCCTAGGGCCAACGACGTTGGGCAAGTACGCTTTTTCGCTAAGGTGGTCGGGGGTCACTGGCGTTAGGGGCAGCGGCGCTTGGCACTCGGCCCACGCGGCGATGTTATCTGGGGGCCCAAGGGCCACGCGGCATCAGGGCCGATGGGCGCCGTTCTGCAGGGTTGCGAGGGCTGGCGGCATTCGGGCTTCGGGCCATGAATGCGCCGTATCGGTTAAGCCATGGTGCCATTGGGCCGCGTAGCCCTGGGCATCGGCGTGATGAGGTTGTGTCAAGGCTGCGCGGCATTCGGGCGTTTCTTGGCGTTCTGGTCTGGGCCGTGGGAGGGCGAGTGGCAGGGGGGGGTCATGGGGTCGCTCGCCCTGGGGCCCACCCACCTGGCAATCGGCTCTCAGAGGTGCGCGGCACAATCGGTAGTTGCCGTCGGGGTGTGGTTCGCAAAGCTTTCGGCGCCGTCGTGTTTCGGGCGGCAGGGCGAAACGGCCCGACGTTCGGCTTCGAGGCGAAGGTTGCCTCAGGCGTTTTGGCACTGCCGCGGTGGTCGCGTGGTGCGTCGCGCGGTCAGTGCTGAGGGCCTGGGGGCACGTGGACATCTGGCAGTGCAGTCTTGAGGCATTGCGGCGCTGGCACCTAAGTTCATTGCGACTTGGTCACGGGCCCGTTCTGTCTGGAAGTGTGGCAAGTGTCGCCCCCCTGCGCAGTCGGGCTTCAGGGCGGTCTTAGTGCGCGTGGCAATTTGGCTTCTGGCGGCCTGGTGTGTCAAGGCTGTCTGGCGGTCATGCTGCCGTTCGGCCCAATGTAAACGGCGGGGCGCGCAAGGTGCATCGGCCGATTCAGGTCGCCATTCCCGCATGCCGCAAGCCGCGGCTTGCCCCCCCCCGCAGTGACCCTTCCCGCCCCCGTCCGCCCTCTCCCCCCACCTGCATCCACCCTCGCCCGCGATCACCGCCACTCTGCGCGCGCGCAAACGCCGCGCGCGCACGCGCCAGACTCGCACCCTCATGTGGCGCGTTGGCAGCTGTTTCGCAGCGCGCCTCGCGCGCGGAACTGGGAGGCCAGCCACTGTCCATCGCCAACATTGGCCACCGTTTCGCGGCGCGCTTCGCGCGCCGAACAAGGATCATGCCCATCGCGAAAAGTACACAATATTTCGGCGCGCTTCGCGCGCCACCGCAGCCATGCGAGCTTGCCAGCGCGTTAGGCGCCAGGCTTGCGCCGTAGGGGTGACGCGTCTGGTCATTTGGCGAAATGGGCTGTTGCGGCGCCGCAGCGAATAGTTTAAACACAGCAAAAAGGTCAGACATCAATTGTTCATTGCAGCGCGGTGTTCGCCAGCACAAGAAGCCTGTGGCATGGCGTAGCCTAGCGTGGGCCACGATTGCGTTGAAGACAAGGGCGGGTTGTTTGTCCAGCCCACCGTTCGTTTTGCGTTATCACTGGCGCGTGTATAACACAATAACGTGTGTTACGCGTTCATATGATGTGCGCCATACATGTCATGCTACTATGTTTACAACAAAGCGCCTGATGCGGTTCATGCGTGGCTGCGGCTGTGCGGATGAACGGCGTCAAAAACCTTGCGCGTGCAAGCGTTAGTCGATGGTTACATGGTTTCTGAGTCGAGTGCTAACGTGCAAACAAGTTATTTGGACGTCGCTTGCGCATTACACCATCGTGTAGCACAGCTGCGTGACACAGCCTAATATTATAACAACGAAACACAACATACATAATATGGTCGCGTAGTATCGCACAGGAGTGTTGGCGGGATGCCATGCATCATGGTGCCACAACGCAGGTTAGCACAATGCACTGTACGTATGATTGTATAGATGTTGGAACACACTGTGGTGGAACAGGACATGTCGTTTTTCATGTCGGTAGCAAGAATGTCATTGCATGTGGCCGTTGTCGTTTTCCACCACTCCGCATGAGGGGGGTGGGAGGAGAAGGAGGAAGGGGATCAGGAGCAGGAAAGTTGACGTTCGGCGCAGCGCTGTTTCCGTTATGACAGTGGCGCATGAATCCAGCCGTTGGTTATGACAGTATAACGCATGAATCCAGCTCGAAAGTAGCGTAGCGGTGTATCCGATATTTTCCGTTCCCGTGCCGTGCCCACCTGTATCCAGCCAGAGGGTTGGCTTGCGAGCGTGTTCTCAGCTACCAGAATGGCATGGGATGCGCCCGTCACCGTTCATCCGCACTGGCGGCGTTCCGGCCTGAAGATCACATGAGCAGTCCGTGCGATGGGGTACGTGGCCCGTTTGGGTGTGTAAGTTCTGCCAGGCGGATTTGGGATGTGTGTTCCGTCACCACCGCTGCTTTTCCGTAGCCATCCGTGGCTGAGTTGCATATCCACATAAATGTGCGCTCCGCGTTTACAGCCTCTTCTTCTCTGTGCTTGCTTGTGGGCCTCCGCAATGTCCGTAGACCTGAACGTGTTCAAGGTCCGAGGGCACACGCTCCGTCTGCAGCTGCAGGTGGCTGGGCTGTCCGAGAACATGCGCGGCGAGCTTCGCTTCTCAATCCCCGCGGAGATCGAGATCGCGCCGAAGGCTCCAGGCGCCAGTGCTGCCGCGGGTGCCAGCCAGAGCGCCAGTGCTGCTGCGGGTGCCAGCCAGGCCCCACAGGAGGCAGCGCAGGGCGCGTCGCCAGGACAGCCGCCTGAGAAGCGGCAGAGGCAAGCGTCGCCAGGACCGCCGCACGATGGTGGATCTAGCGATGTGGAGTTTGTGGGCGAGCAGCCGTCCCCGAAGGTGCCGATCGAGCCTCTCCCTGTGCCGCAGCAGCAGTCACCGACTGCGGCGCCGCCGCGGCCGAGCGCCGCCCCGAGCGTGGTGGCGAAGGCGCTGACCCCAGCGGGCAGCCGCCCTGATCTTTCTCAGCCTGCGCCCAGAGTTTTCCAGATCGGCGGGTCTCAAAGTATGCCAGTGACCGTCCATCCAAGCACCACCCCGTCCCTGCCAGTCGAGGGTAAGGGCGATGATGAGGGCGCATCCCAAGCCCCGCCACCCATTAGGTCAGATGAGGCAACTCTGGTGGAGGATTCGCAAGAGCCGTTAGCAGCTGTCCAGGCTGTCCTACACAACAAAGTTTTTGAGTCTGCCGTTGAGAAGGAGGCTGCTGAGAAAGGCATCCAGCACCTGCCAGTTGTGGCTCCTGTCGGCGTTCAGCAGTCGTCTGGGGCTCCTGTCGACGGCTCCAGCAGCAGGTTTAGGACGGCGTTGCGAGCGTCGCTGGCAGCAGATGGCGGTTCGCAAGCGTCGTCGTTGCCGCCCCTGGACCTCGGCGATTCTGTCGGTTCTCTGCTTCCTGATGGTGATTTTCCGAGCACTCTCGGGTTCGAGGGGCCATCGGAGACCCAGCAGCCCATTTAAGCTATCATGTGATATCTGGTTTATATATTGCCAGCTTGGCCAGCCTCGCCTGCGACTGCGGGTCAGCTTGAGTGGACAGGTTGAGGCTGAGGCTGACGAGAAAGGAGGAGGGTCGGGGGGACGGGTGAAGAGGTTGCCCAAAGCAAAGGAGGATGGAGCAGGACACGAGGACTTCATATTCAAGATTTGTGCTATGCGCAGCTTGGCGCTTCGAGACTGAGAGTTTCATCTTTGTTGGCCACCATTATAATAATTGGTTTGGGCTCAGTGCTCAATGGTCGCTTACAATGGTGATGACGACGGCGCCGTCGTGTCACCATCGACGTTGCCGCAGCCGTCGATGGTGATGATCACTTCACCATCGACGGCTGCGGCAACGCCGATGGTGACACGACGGCGGCGGCGATGAGAGTTCCCGATGCCATTATACTGAAGCTATCGGCCATGGCGTTGTGGTGCGATCTAGCTGGTACAATCTATGTTAAGCGACCGTCCAGTGTGAATACTTGCCGCGCTCTGTTGTGCAATGGTGAGCGCTATGTGGTGCGGCACTCATGTTGTGCAATGTATGGTGAACTCTATGTGGTCCAATCTTTGAGGAGCTGTCTTGGGAATGCCATCTTGGTGGAACGTCTAGGGAGGGCGTCTTGGGAAGGCCGTCTAGGTGGAGTCGTCTAGGGGGATCGTCTAGGGCGGCATCTAGGGATGGCGTCTAGGGGGGGGTCGTCTTGGAAGGGCAGAGCTGCTGCCAATTGGGATTGGATGGCGGCCCCACTCCGTGCCAGCCAAAAGTATTATCCAATATAGGTTGCGCAATTCGTCTGATGTAACCTATGGCAATCAACAACCTCTTAGAGTAATGCGTGGTGCAATCTATGGTGCGCTCTATGTTGTGCAATCGGTGGCGCAATCTATACAGTGCAATTGCGGTGGGCCGTCTTGGGAGGGCTCCAGGGTGGGGCCAGGCGGAGCCGTCTTGGGAGTACCGTCTGGGCGTCTACTATGTTTCGCATGCGCCAGGGCCGCATCGGCCCAAGGCTTTCATATCTCTATGCAGCCAGGTGCTGTGTTCGTATTGCTTTGGGCTGCTGTGACGCTCTACTTCACGTTCCGTTGCAGCCCAACGCTTACTCCATATTCAGATCTCGCAGAGATGAAGCGACCTGGCCCGCCTGGAGCATCATCTGGCCCTTCGAAGGGCAGGAAAAGCAAAGGAGGTGGTCCTCAACCATCCGCCACCGACGACCAGATGCCAGCTGGCGGCACGGCAATGGTTGAGGCGTCGCCATCATCCTGTTCGTCTCCCGCGGTGACTCCTGCTAAGCCGACGCGGCCGCGCGGCGGTGCTGGCTCGGGCAAGGGTGCCAAGGCATGTGGCAAGGCCGGAACGACGACGCCTACTAAGCATCCTGGGTCCAAGAAGGGCCTCGAACTTGTCCAGCCTCTGTCGGCAGCTGGCCTTGAGAGCTTCCTTGGCGAGTACATGGGCAATCCCAGTGATAAGTGCGAGCGGCGCGACTGCGGCAACACCTTGAAGCATGCCCCGAAGCACGAGCAGTATGACTGCAAGCAGTGGGGCGGCTACCAGATCCAGTGGAAGAAGGAGGGTAAGCACTGGAAGGAGGACTTCTGTGTTTCAATGATCGCAGTCGTATTCGGGTTGCCGTCCCCTCCAGGGTGGTCCCTCCAGGGATGGCCCCTCCAGGATTGCTTCTCGGGGTCGTCTGCCGTTGACCCCTCAGGGGGTCTCCTCCAGGATCGCCCCGTCACGATTGCCTTCCCAACTTCCTCAGCAACATTCGGATATACCCTCTTCCTTCTCCTGGTGGCTTTCGGTCCCATGGAAACTTCAGGGACATAGGATTCAACTGAGGGGGGCAGCCTGGTAATCCGAATGATGCTGCCATTGCCTCTGGCCTTGGAGGTGCTATTACCATCGGGTCCTCTGTGCTGGAACTGCGGCCCGACGGCTCGCGCCTTCTGCCAGCACGGCAGCCCGTCCCAGATTGCGATGAAGTGCAACGAGGTTTCAGAGTTCGACAATGAGTTTTGTGATGCAATGGTCGGCTTGAAGGTGCCTGCTACTAAAGTGTTCTTCCCCAGCGACGTGGCCAGGACCCAGGCAACGTTCGTGCGGGCCAGCAAGCGGAAGCGGGGCCTCAGCCCTGAGGAATACAAGGATTGGCGGGCCGTCTAAGCGGCACCCCTCACACGTTCCGTTTCTCAGTGGTACCTTGTTGATGGGTGTCTTGAACGGTGCCTCCCCCATAAGGTCTCCCAACTACCCCATTGGTGTTTCAACCAATTGTAGCGGTCCCAGTCCCTGTATGTAAACAATAGTTTTGGGCGCCGCTTGCGTTAGCATAGTAGCACACGTAGTGTTTGCATTGTGCCCAATGTTCCTCATAATACTGTGTGTCATTAGCAACATGCAACAACAATATCCCACTAATGTCTAAACCGTTGTCGCTTGCTGACATCATCACGATGTTGGTATCGACCGCCAACACAGTTTAAGGGTACACGTCGCAATTGTGCCCGACATACAACCATTATTCTTCTTCGTTGTGGTCATCGCCATTCTTACCCTTATCGCCTTTACCCTTGTTATCCTTGCCATTATTATTCCCTTCACTGTCGTCATCATGCTTCTCCATATCCCCTCTCTCTCAACAACATCCTCATCATCAGCCGTGCCCGCACCACCCTCAATATCACTACCACCGCAGGTGTCTTGGGTATCTTGAAGGCCTTGGGCGTCTTGGATGCCGCTGGCTTCTTAGGGGTCTGGGCGGCGCTTTGGATTTTTAGGGTATTGGGTGTCTGGGGCGCGTGCGGTATCTTGGGCGTCATGGGCCGTATTCTGATGTTCTTGTCGACGGGAGGTTGGGGATATGTGAGGCCGTTGAGGTATGGGGGCCTTTGTGGGCCTTTGGACTTGATGATGGTGGAGGTGTCGATGATGATGGTAGGGCTGTGGTTTTGCGCAAAGGTAGGCTTGTTAGCCATGTTGGCGTTCGTGGGCCCGTTGGGCGAGCGCGGTCGCTCTCCCTGTTGGCCCCGCTCTCAGGGTCGTGGGGATGGCTGGACCGTCCTGAAGCATGCTTAGAGTCCATCGGAGGCGCGCTGGAAATTAGAAGTTATCGCGTACTGCCTGGTGGGTGTTGGTGGACAGTGGCAGGCGGGGCAGGGCTGGGGGAGAGGTCTCGATTGGCCCCCCTGGTACTCTCTTAGAGCCTTCCTGGTCAGCAAGGGCTATTCGACGCCCCGCAGGGCAAGGGGTCCAGGCCCAGGGCGAGGCCAGGGGATGACTTGTGAGGCACCCAAGAGAACCATTAGGCGTTATAGAGCGGGTGTCATAGCTTCTAAGGTCCCAGGGCGGTTCGGGGATATGTTCTGGCGCATATATCATTTGAATTCGCCGTCTCGCTGGCGTCGGCGAATCACGCTCCCAATTTGCATGTTGCATTCGACATTGATTCACGCCCGATTATGATTATCATCCGACTGCGGGTCACATCTGATTTCATGTTCGAGTACGCTTGTGCGGAGGCGGTTTGCGCCTTGCATTTCACACACTATTGCGTTTTTCATCTGACGTTCTTTCCAGGTCCGAGGGTTCGGTGCAGCAGAGTGTTTCGCAACCTATTGTATGTTGCATCCGACTGAGATTTGCTTCAGACTGTGTTTGGCAGTTTGGAATTATTATTTGTATCAGTTTGCCATGTTGTCTGCGATAGAGAAGGGGCTTTGCTCAACCAGACAGCTCTTCGCCACCGTCTTTGGTAATTTCGCGTCTTGGGCGGCGACGGTAACGATGACGACGGCGGTGTCTTGGGCGTCTTAGGCTTGGGGGGTATCTTGGGTATCAGTTGTATCTTGGGTGTTGGGTGGGTCGTGATCGTCTTGGGGCTTTTGTTCTTATTGGGCGTCCTGGTTGTTGGAGGTGGTCTTGTGTATCTCGGGCAAGTTTGATGCCTCGGGTGCCGTTGGTGCCTAGGGGGCCTCGGGCTTATAGGGGCAACTGGGTCGTTTGAGTGTCTGTGGTGCCTTGGGCACCGCAAGGGTTGTTGGGTACTTTTGGCATTGGTTGTGTATTGTGCATTTTGGCGGAATGGCCTCTGGTGTAACAAATGCGCATTGGCTAAATCGGTTGCGCGGTACCTGGGTACCTATCTATTGTATATTGGATTGCTCTGACATCGTGGGCATACGCGACATATTCAGCATGGTGGGTATCTTGGGCGTCATGTGTATTATTATGTTGGGGGGCGGGGTCCTGTTTTTCGGCGCCTCGGGCCTCCGCAGTAACACCTGGGGCTGGGGGTCGTGGGGTTCTTGGGTCTCCTGGGTGTCTTGTGCGCTTGGTGTCTGTGGGG